TCGATTGTATACGACTTTGATTAATACATGTAATGCCATTGTAATTGCTTCGCGTCTTTTTTTAGCCTCCGCTATCGGAGGCTTTTATACAGAGAGATAGAGAGAGAGAAAGAGAGTCGCAGCGGCATTATAGACGCGCCAACGCGCCAATCGGTTATGATATGAATTGCGCGCGGGGCTTCCAACCTTTTTTCTACCCGTTTTAATGTCTGATGCAGTTCTCGTGGACGGGCAATTATTTATGAAAGCTGTGCAATAATAGGTCGCACACGGCATGCACGAGTTGAAAAAAAAAGTATGTTGCTCTTTGTCGTCGTCGTCGCGTCGCCATCGTCGTAGTTATGTATGCGCGAGCGTCGACGTACTAATGGAAACGAGTAACGAATGTTTTCTTTTAATAGCAGAAGGCGCGACGCGGCCTTTTTTCCTCTCACTCCTGGACGGAGCTACTCAATTTGTATGTGACACCAAAGTTTCCATATTACGTACACTACCTTATCTCCCGACATGATAATAAATTTCGACTCTAAAGACTCTAAGTACGGCGCGGGGCCTGAAAAAAAAGTCGTGTACAAGCGGCCAATTTTGCGGGCTAAAAGTTTGCTCTCTCTCTCTCTCTCTCTCTCTCTCTCTCTCTCTCTCTCTTTCTCTCGAGCTACATGTAATGCGCCTCGGCGAGCAGTTACTTTGAATAATGCAAGCTGTGCAAAGTAAAAACCACCACCGCCGCGCGCGGCTGTACTGCATATAACACGGGGCAAGATTTATAATTTAATGAGAAGCGCGTGTAGAAAGACGGAAAGAAATTTTGAATAATGTTCCGAATTTACGTAGGAAATAAATATTGACAATCGAGCGCAGTGTCCTCGTTGGCCCCGTCCTACATCATGCGCAACATTTAACGCGCTCGCAATATTAGTACGTTTCTCGATGAAAAGCTTCTCGCGTTGAATTTCCAAAAGTTACATAAAGTCTCTCTCAGTGTTGATTTATTTTATTTGCCAACGATATAATTGACAATTTTCTGCTCGCTACATTACACACACACGTACACGTACGTACACACGCACACTTCACTCCCACCAAGATTCGATTCGCACACAGAGAAAGAAAGAGAGAAAGAGAGACGTGCTAGAGTCAAAGGAAACGCCTAAGTAGAAGAGGAAATCACTCGTTTGCGAGGTAAGGTAGCTATTACCCACGGCAAGATGAAAGTCACCGTTGTTGCCTTTTTTTCTTTATTTTTTTTTTACTTTGCCTCGAGTCGCGCTTGTGTCGCGCGGAGAATAGGATGCGCGCACCGCAAAATGTGTATAACTAGACGGGCTAATTCGCGGTTGTAGCGAGGCACGTCAGCCGGCGCCGATGCTATATCCGCGTTATGCAAAAGGTTTTGTCAGCTTCTCTTGACATACTTTTCCACGTGTGCGTCGCGCGCGATTCTCTTGAGTAACTCCATATGTACCAATGTGCTATACAGATATGCGTTATATATATGTAACGGAGCGCAGCTCGCGGAATCTATAATGAAACGCAAGAAATTTTGATAAGTTGGCTCGAGGAGGAGAATATACATCGCATAGATATATATAGCTAATAGGCAAAAGTTAGCCCTAGCGGTGCAATGTGGTATACGGTAGTATAATTGTTCTCGCGCCATATGTGCCACTCGCGCGCAGTTTGCGTAACACGTGAAATCGCATATCTTTCTCGAGCGTCTATGTATACGTTCCGAACAGTGCAGCAGCGGTGTAACACGACCACGACTACTACTACTACTACTACTACTACTACTACTACTACTACTACTACTACTACTACTACTACTACTACTACTACTACTACTACTACTACTACTACTACTACTACTACTACTACTACTACTACTACTACTACTACTACTACTACTACTACTACTACTACTACTACTACTACTACACATATGCTGTACCTATGTGTGTACGTTGGTATATGTGTGCGCGATAAGCTGCGCTCAACGCGCGACCAAGAGCGATCATATAAATTGTCCCGTGACCCGTATTGTTGCGCAGCATCCCTTGACGCGCCGCTGCAGCACCGAGCAGCAGCGCACAACGGCAGCGGTATAAGCAGAGCAGCATCGGAGCACGCGCCGCGCGTAAACTCCTCACGATAATGGCACATGCACGTCGAGTCCGTATACGCGCGTATACATAACGACATGCTGCAGCATGTGCCGCGTCCGTCATCGTGCATATACCTATACGTACCTATATGCACGAGATATAGCCGATAAGAAAATTCTCCGTTTCCAATTTCTCAAAGCGCAGGTGTATACATGTGTCGTGTTATAATACGTACAAGCACGAGCTCGGAGATATCTGCCAGCACGAAACGCGACGCGAGAAATTCAAATTCGCTGATCAATGTGGCTTGCTCGACGTTTCTGCGCGAATCGTAGCTAAATATCTGCGTTATGCGCTCATCGCGCTTAGTCTCTCGGGTGAGCGTCCAGCTGCAAAAAGCCGCGACGCGACGACTATATTTGGCGCTTATCTAACCGACGCGATTCAGCTTATGATTATTAATCATCCTGCTGCACGACTGGGTTCCGAGCCGAGTTCACAGAGAGAGAGAGAGAGACTGGCACGACGCGCACTGCAATAATAACCATTGCTCAAAATCTCCACTATCAATTCATTATATCCGATGGTGTCTCTCAAGAGACTCCATACATATCGCGCGCACCCGAATATATATTGCAATGCGCATATAGACACGAGCAAAATTGATTTACACAAGTTGCCAAGGCATCTATAGCTATCGCAAACGATTCGAGTCTCGAGTCGTTTTGACTCGTTCTTGCTGCTGCTTCTGTTCTCCCCGCTGAATAAAGCTCGTTTCTCGTTGGCACAATCGAATCGCGCAGTCGACATGCAATTTCGAGAAAAATTAGACCAAAAACTACGCTCGAGAGGGAAAGGGAGAGAGAATATACGATCTCTCGCACATACATCTATATTACTCGACGGTAAAAGCTCACGCAGCAATCGTGTGTGCAGCTATATATATGCAACGTCGTATGGCTGCATGCAGCGTGCGCGCCTGCGACAACACACCGACGCGCACAAACACGTCGTCTCGCGCTCACGTATTACGTTTGTTATTTCCGGTTGACTGAAGCGTAAACTGATCTCTACAATGCTGCAGCTCGCAGAGCACACACATGCACGTGCACTCCGATCTGCCAGCACGGCTTTTAATGGCGAATATTTTTATTTTCCTTTTTTTTTTATTCATTTGACGAGAGAGAGATAAAACACGAGAAAAAGAGGCGAACGCCGGCAGAAATGCTCTCGATGACTTTTCAATGGGGGAGACAACGTAACGAGTAAATGTATCGTTTGTGTTTGCTCGGAGTTTAGGCAGGCATGAAAATTACTCGCAATTATCGCGATCGTACGAGAGAGCTGCGCGACGCGCCTATACTTTTGACCATTACGATTTCAAATTGTGTATACAGCGCCTATACCTCTATACGTATAGCAGGTATACGTTATAACGAGTGCGAGTATGTGTGTTATTTCGTTAATTCGGCCAATCGATTCCAAGCCGTACTGTATGCCGTATATATAAATATACGTTTGCCTCGCCCCCCTACTTCAACTCTGATAAACTTTTCGTTTTTCGTTATACGCGCGCACTATACGCGCTAAATGGAATTTAGATTTATTTATTATTTCGCTGTGACTCGATATTATTAAATTTTCATAGAATTAACATTGGCGCGAGGCAGTATTTGATCGCGTCACACGATTATATGGCACATACCGATGCAAGGTAATTTCCAGCCCAGAGGGCAGCCGAGTGTCAGGCCGAACGTAAATCCATCTACATATAGATATCCATACATAATGCGAAAAATCGCTCGGCTCGTCGTCCCTCCCTATATATGCGCACTGCTGCAGTTTCGGAAGCAGTCGTTGACAATCGAATGGTCCAGTGGCTTAGAGGCAGAGCGCGATCGCGCGCGCACCTCTCGCTCTGCGGCAGTTCTCTCGATGGAATACGAAATTTCCAGGTCAAAGATGAAAAATTGCCGAGTTTGACGGATACTCGCGAATTTTCAATCCTTTTTTTTTTTTTTGGTCGACATTCAAACAGCCCAGGAGTGCATCATTGATGATTATATTTTCGAGGGTATGAGCTTTTTTTTCTTGTCGTTAAAAACAACATCATTAAGGCTGAGTATGTGGAAAGGATGCCATATAGAGCGTTAATCTATTTGATAGATGTCAAAGGCACGAAAAATAAGAAGAAGAAGAAGAAGAAAAAACGCCGGAACCTTATCAATCCTTTGGCCCACCCAAACATATAGTATTCTTTTTCAAAGTTAATGATCCGTCAATTTTCCCTGGATACACCGTTTTCTCGTTTTTTTCTGCGCCGTAGCGTAGCACACATAAACCGCACGAGACGGTTTTATTCCTTGGCCAAAGTCTTTGAGCCGACGTCGTCATTTTCCTTCGCTTTGAAGTCTGGGCGGTCGTTCTGATATACCTTCAACTTCCCTTCTTTTTTCGTCGAGCGAAAAAGTAAAAAAAAAAAATTGTCACCAGCTCAAGACCCTTATATCACAAACGAACTTCTATGTACACACGCCTCGTCTCGTTGGCTTTATTCGTGTGCGTTGCGACATCGCAATTTGCTTTCGATATGAAAAAATAAGCGCTCAAGAGAAAAAACATCGTTTTGTATCGATAATAAGGTGCGCGCGCTCCGAGTGTTCCGACAAAAAATTTAATCAATGCTTTCGCATTGGATATAAATGCATCATTCTGTACTTCTAACGACGTTTCGATGGAATTTAACGCTCGATTGAATGAGAAACATCGATCGATGGATATTTTATGAGAGTTTCTACCCCATAGAAAGTTTTTTTAGAGCTCACATAGTAAATATATATATATGCCACGATCGTAAAAGTGAGTGCATTAATTTGATATTGTTATTTTTTGCAGACCTCGACACGATGCTTTACGGATACACCAACAGCATTTACGTGCTGGACCACACGCCCGAGCCCCTCTCGGTACGTATACGTATATTATCTGCAACGCGCACTGCAGCAGAGCTCACCTAAAATTGAATATATCATATAATATTTTTCTCGTGAATCAAAGAGACGCATGGGGTACGGCGAGCGAGAGAGAGAAAAAAATGAAGAAGGAAAGTACCAGAGGCGAAAGAAAACACGTCGCGAGAGTTAATTAAAGTCAAAGTAAATTTCACATTGTAGAATACGATACATATACGAAACTTAATTAAAGTTTCCGGTCGCGAACGGATTGCTGCTGCTGCCGCTGGCTGCGGTACACGGGGTTTGTATTAGTATTCACCGGTGTTGCTACTATGAGAGAGAGAGGGAGAGGGAAAGAGAGAAGAAGGCAAAGAAAAGGTATTTTCTACTTTCAATTTGTAGATAAAGAGTACAAGTGAACACTGACCCTATTTCGCGCGACAAGGTGATTAATGATATCGTACATAATTGTGATTATTACACGGGCCGACGCGCCGACGAATTGTTTATCCGAACATTTAACTGGGCTAAAGGGACGATACGTCATGTTTTTTATTATGAGATATATATATATAATTACGAGTACTGGACGTGAATTTATGATGCAAATGCTGAGCCTCGTAGTCGTCGTCGTCGTCGTCGTCATGTGTGCAGTGCGTCGCCCTTTAGTATGTACGACGGCGCGCGCAATTTGATTTTTTTTCCTCGCCGCTCGCAAGTTTCGTGGGGTGGAAAAATGTAATGTCGTTTAAATAAAAACACACCGGGGCAGTCCGTACAAGCAGCGTATATACGTATATATCTAGCTCGCATAATTACAAACTTTAGAAAATGTATTTTTAATTCCTTCCGAGCGAGTCGGCTGCAGACGGCGCGCATGCGGTGTGCAGCAGAGCCTCATGAATGTAAATCTCATCGGAATTCGACGATCGGGCGGCGGGCGAGGAGGAAGTGCGCGACTGCAGCCGAGAGCGCGTTTCCTCGAGCTGGCAAAGTGTCGCGAAGTTAACGACGCATTGTGCGCGCGATTGCGTTCGAGTGAATGTGCACGGGAAATGTGGCGCGATACGTATTTAAATAGGTGCCCTCGCGATCAGTCATTACGCGCCCATTGTGTTGGGCTTAAAAATTATTTCTCGTTTTCTGAAAGTAATATCTATCGGCTTATTTGCTTTGCATATGATATATGCGTATGTTGCGTTTCGAAGCGCATCGCGGGTAGTATTTAGTAGCCCCGGACGCACCGCGAGAAGCTGCACTGCACTGGAGCTCACGTACTCGATGTACATTTGCGTGAGAGCTCTCTCGCGTGCGTACATTTAATTACTATAATTAGCCGAGCAAAATACCCCAAAAGTGGAGCCCCCTTCGTCCCCCGTTCCACGCTGCGCCGGCCTGCACTTGCTGTTTACACGCACTCCAAAGTCTCGATTAATTGCTTTCCAATCGGTATTACCTCGCACGCTCCGGTGTATATGGCCCCCGATGTTTGCTCGCGCGAGCGGCGTATAGTATAACTCTTAATTCGACTGCATATGCGTTGAAAAAATCGTTACTCTTGCCGCCGGCTAACCAATACGAAAAAGTGCAATATAACGTTTTCCCTTTTTTATTCCACCTGCCAACCCCCCCTTCGCTGCCCTTCTCTCCCTCTCTCTCTTTCCCTGGCTCTGCACGTAATTTTAAGCTGCACCGCGTACGTGAGCTATACATAGCAACAGCAGCAGCAGCATAGAGAGGAAAAAAAGTGAACAACCTGTGAGGTTATTGGAGTAAAAGTGATTGATATAACAGTGGGCATGCATGCCACGTTCGCCCCGCGTATTGCCGCACACGAGTGTAATCGGCCAGTCGTACGTATACATACCGGCGATCCGCCCCCCCTCCCCTTAGTTTCTTCTCTTATTTATATTTGATGGATCGAGGCGTTATAACGCGCTGATTTTGATTTTTATATCCATTTTCGATGACTTCGATTGGCCCGCCGGCCAATATTCGCCCCTATATGTATCGTCCTGTAGCATCCCCGAACTTTTTTCATCAAAAACAAAAACTTTTAGCGAACGAACCGACGAAAAAAAAAGAATAAGTTTTTGCACGCCCACTACTTTGCCGGATCCGCACACACACACAGCCACGCACACGTATTTATTTCATGCGAGCGTGTGTATAGCCAATTGGAGCTATATATCCGTCGAAATACTCTACTTCGGCCGAGTATAGATATACGGGTTTTGGCCCAGAGCTCGAGCACTGATAGCGACGGAAAGCGAGGATAATCCTTTAGCGAAACAGTCAAAGATAACGAGAGTCCGTACTATAGCCTAGAAACCTACTATTATATCAGCTGTAAGCTCGCGCGCGCTGTCTGCTGCAAAATCGCTCCTCTCTTCCTTTTTTTTTACTACTTTTTAAACCTCTTATGATTATGAGTAATAGTCTTCTCGTTCTCTGTGTCTCTGGTATCCCCACTCGGTGAGATGCAAAAGACAAAAAAAAAACGAGAGAGAAGATGATAACGAGTGTCGGGACTGGTCAGTGTCTCGGAAAATGGATCACTTTTTGTACACATGCCACCGATGACACATTTTTCTCGCGTTTTCCCGAAAATTCAATATAAATTACCGGGGAAAATTTCCAGCTCGCTTGGCTCGGTGGCACCGGCTCGGCTCATTGTAATTTATTAAAAGGCTTTTGCGTATTTTAATTTTCTTCGCTGCTACACCGAGCGAGTCGGTGAGAGGCAGCGGTAGAAAAAAAACAGCCACACACTCGAAGCATACGCCACGTCGAGTTTTCGAAGGTATATTGTGTGTGCTTCTCGCCCGCGCGTATTACCATAATTAATTTTTGTTATATCATACTGCAAGTATGTAAATAGCAAAATACGCTCATGCACACTTTGGTGCCGTAATACATTAGATATTTTAATATAATTAGCTTTTGAGCATTACGCGAAATTTCGATATAATAATTTAAATTACGTTAATTAGGTAAATATGCCATATGAGCAGCAGTGGGCTTGGATACGCATCGGGTTTCCCATTTGGATATATATTTATAATTATTAAATTGCACTGCTACCCGAGTTTTTAATTTAATCGCACGCAGTATCACGTGCCAAGTGCCAAGAACTGTAGCGTATAATAGTCGCGAGAATTCTCGACATTTTTCGGCGTCGAGCTCCATCTCCTGACTTTACTCTGGTGCAAGTTACGTGAAACGTTTGAAGTAAGATCCCTTGTCCAATTAAAAATCAATCTTATCACTCGACACATACGCACACGCGCACACACACACATATTTTGGCGCTCTCTTGTTTCTTCGTTACATTGTATTTTTTGTGCGCCTGATACATCCCTCCAAGCTCGCGAGTGGAGCATTTCCGAAAATGAAATTCCTCGTGTAGCTGTGTGTGCGTTTGGGTGTGTGTGTGTGAGTGTGTGTGTGTGTGTGCTCCACTATTCCACCCCCTCTCTGCCCATTTATGCGGTGAAAAGTATTTCCCGCCCAAAAAACAATGATTCTTGCTTTCTCTTCCTCTCACTGTCATTCGGAAAAAAGCTCTTTGCCAATTCCCTTTGACTCCTCACCTCTCTCTCTCTCTATCTCTCTCGCCAAGCACAGAAAAAAAACCCTCTTTTCAAATTCAAACGACAAAGCGGCGTGGCGCGTCGCGCGCACATACACGTTCTATAGCCTGAGGCAAGAAACTTGGCTCTCTTTTTCTCTCCCTTTCTAGTTTTCTCGTTTTCTCTCTCTCTCCCTCCTTATGCACGCGATATTTATAGCTTAAGCCCATGTGTGTGTTTTGTCTCTTGCGCAAAATGTGTATGTGTGTGGGTGTGTGTAGGTGTGTATATACAACGCCTTCGTTAGAGTAATTTGTACCCCGCGGGCCACCGCCACCGCGTGACTCTTCCATCACGCAGTTTTGCCGTGACTCTCTCGTCTAGCGCACGAGCTATGCAACACAAGCTCTTCCGGCAACGCTGGCAAAGCTTCAATTCAACTCGACTAAGAAAGTCAGGCGCTTAGACAAAAACGGGTGCATTGACACGCTCGAGATTAAAGTCGAGCTTTCTTTTTTCATTTTTTTTTGCCTCAGCTCGGACACGCTGCACCGCACGCGATGTGTGCGGCTGGACGCGCGCGAGACAATTTCGCCCCGGCGCCACACGATGATAAACATTTATTTATTAACCGTAAATATGGACGCGCTTTGAGTTTAAAGAGAACGAGCGAAAGATAGAGCGAGGCAAAACATCACAGAGGCAAAGGAGGTACTCAAACTTGGTGAAAATCCATTCAAATTCCGTCCTAAAGTGGCACTCTTCCTTGTAAGCGAAAAAAAACACGAGAAAATCTCGTGTCATTCAACGTCGAGGAAACTATTTAAAAGAAGATGCTGAAATTTTATAAACGCTCTCGAGGGTCTTCGCGTAGCGCTTTTCAATGTGTGCTCTACGTGTGTATATTGCGAGCAAGTACATTCAAAGGACGATGAAAATGAAAAAGCGAGTCTAGAATCAGGGAGGAAAAAAATGTGTATGAAAGTATATAATGTACGAGCTCGAGGAGATAGATGTGAATTATTTTTCATTTTTCCTCGCCGCACGCGTACGTGTTTCTAAGGTTCTCTTCGTTAAAAGAATAATGCAGCCCTCCAAGCGTGTACATGATACCCCCCGTAGCGAGAGTAGTTATAACGCATGAAATTTCCCAACGCAGACAACAACGAAAAAAAAAAGAAGCAAAATCATATTTTCTGGTTATCTCTGGCAAAAAACAACGCTTCTCTCAAGAGCCACGAGTGAAAGAGCGAGATAGAGGAGAGAGAGAGAGAGAGAGAGAGTCAGTTTCGCGAAAAACAATTCTCACTTTGGCGCGCGGCACGAGTGAGACGTTCGAGCGAGTTCTTACTTGGGCATCCGCTTGGTACTCTGCCAATATAAGAGAGCTGAATTTTATTCGCGCGGCAAAAAAGCTCGCGTATCGGTGCAAGTACTGTCTGCGATACACTTGTTATACATGCACGAGGCATGGGCCAGCAGTAGCAGCAGCAGCAGCAGCAGAGCACGCAACTATACTCGTCTGATTTATCGCTTCGCGGCAGTTAGAATCGACTAACTCTCGGACTAGTGCACTTAAAGGCATGCTCGAGTGCACCCCCGATGCAGCAGAATGAAGCGATATACCCCGAGAGCGAGCCTAATAAATTGCCCGAGCGAGAGACCTCCGCATCGCAGCACCGAGAGCTGCGCACGATATAATCTTATATGCTAAAGCGGATAGCTGTGTCCTGCCTGGCGCATTCTTCGGGCGTGCGTATAGCGCGAAATATATGGCTCGGTAAAAGTGGATAAGCAGAGATCCTTGATTATTTTTCTCCCGTGACTAATAGAGTCCCGAAATCGCGATTCTCGCGTATATGAGGAGCGTGGAGTGACGCTGCTCTCGTCTGCCATACTTGCCATTCGGAGCGCGACACGCGCTCCTCGATACAAGTCGATCCTTGTCATTGAAATATATGGTCTTGGTTTCGCAGGACATGGACATGCTGCAGCTGTTCGCATCGCCGGCCGGCCGAGCCCTCATCGGCGGAAGCTCGAGCTCGCGCGCCACCGGCGAGGATCGTCAGACCAAGCAGAGCCGATCGTCGACGTCCTCGCTGACGCGCGAGTCTGCCCTGTCGAAGCTCGTGGTCACGGCCGGCCCGTCGAGGGAGCCAGCCGGCAGCTTGAGCAGCCAGGGCAGCAACAACAGCAGCAGCTCGCTGCGCAGCAGGTTCACCCTGGGCAGCGGCAGCGCCAGCGCCCCGGCCTCGCCCCGGCAGCGCAAGAGCAGCACCGAGCTCTACAAGGAGGCCGTCGAGATTCTCGGCCTGACCTGCACGCTCAGCGACAGTTGCCGCTGCATCGATTGCCAGGTGACAAATTACTTACCTACCTTTTATCAATTTTCTCGAGACCGTCTCCAACACCGGAGCTTCGTAAAAGGTAACGACAAGCTCGTCGACGAGAGCTCGGTGTTCATTGATCGTCGAGTACTAGGAGAGAGACGAGAGAGAGAGAGAGAGCTGGAGTTAGCAGCTTTGTTCGGGGCGCGCGTATTGTGTGTAGCATCGCGTAGCTGCGTCGGACGTGTACGTGTACGTGTGTCTGTACTGTGTACGCGGGTGAGAGGGAGCAGCATCGCGTCTGGGAATTTCAATTAGAGCTTGTTACTTCGTGCTTTACAAGCTAATGCGGCGAAAATTTCGTGCGGCTATGCACTGCTCTCGACGCATATAATGTATACACACGCCCCGGCCGCGTACCTACCTACCTTCCTACCTTGGCGCAGCTTCGACGAGTATCGGATTACCGATTCTCAAATGAAATTATCAAAGGGAAATCCTCGAACGAACTTTTCCATCATTTCATTTTCGCATCATTTTCGGATTAAAACTACTACTTCGGCTGCTGCTGATGATGCTGTTCGTCTATAACCTGACGGCACACAACTTTTTCTGCCGCGCGGTGCGGCAACTTTTTCAAATCGTTAACATCAAAGTTCGCGTTGCGGGCGAAAAATAATTCAATCAGAAATTCACGAGAGTCTAATCGCCCGTTCGTGATAAACTTTTCCGTTCGCTCCATACCCCCCATCCACTCCTCAACACGCACGCACACAAAATAGAGCGAAAAATACCAATTTTCTCGGAAACGCGCGCGAAGCCTGTCATTCGCAGCGCGCAAAGTCTATGATCAAAAACCGATTTTTATATAGCTTATAATAAAAAAGCTCCCTCCTCGCAGATTGCGAAAAACGTACGCGAGCCGAGGATAAGCCTTTAATCGTCTGTATTTGATTTTTGCAGAGCAATTATTTCGACTACGAAGACGACTACGGAGACACGAGGACGGAACTGGCGGCGGGCACGCCCGTATTACTGGACCACGCGTTGACGCATCCGCTGACCTGTTCCATTCAGTAGCGACTGATTTAAACACGCGCATACGTACCATACGTAAACGTCGTGCTCATGATGTGTCAGTTTCAGCGACGAACAACCGAGAGGGACAAGAGAGAGGTATAGAGAGAGAGAGAGAGAGAGATTGGAAATACAACTGGTTATGATGTGAAAGTGACCACCGCGCGCTATACGAGTGACGGATGTGCTCTCCACCAAGGATTATATATGCATCTTAATGTTGAAATGCTTTTCGAGGGCTGTTGATATACTTTCATCTGTTTTAGTTTTATCGCGATGCACCAGGCAAAAATAAAGTGTTATTAAATGCTATGAAGCAGCGCACGAAAATCTATTTTTTATGTCAAAAATCGGCTTAATATAAATTCAGTATATCGCGTCGACGCACACAGCGCGCAGCTTTTGATTGAATATTCAACGCGGAGATATATTGCCTAAAACTCGTTTGAAATTCCAATTTGAAAATTGTTATACTTCGATAAATCGATGTGTTTCGTTGTACAACTGCAAATATCTATAATTTGTTACAAATGGCCTTACCAGCCATGATAAAACAATTCAAAGTGAATAAAGGAAAGTGTAAAATAGTATATAAGAGTATAAATTAAGGAAAAAACAACTTTATGCATTAGTGCTCAAGGATTTTAGAGGGAAAAATCTTGAATTCGATCTGCTTTTGTTTTACAAAAAAATTGCAAGAATCAAAAAAGACAACAACCTTTTTTTACCGTTTTTATGCAAGATATTTATAAAACGTGACGCTAATGCATATTAATAAGTATCATAATTATATTCTGCTCGTTATAAAAAATCATTTCCATAACTCATTCTCTGTAAAATTCACAAAAACAAATGCATCATATATACTATAAATTATTGTAATAAATGCAGAGTCACTTCTCCTATCTTAAGAATCTATTTCTCCATCTTGCTAATAAGCTATTATTCTCCAATAATATTTTTTTAAACCATAAAAATCTTTCAATTCGATTCGACCTTAACCAATCCTGATTTTTCACATTCAGTCATCGTTTAACAAAGCTTACAATGAGACACTATATTAATCATTATCAGCTTCATCTTTTTACAGAACATACGTAGACAATAGTTTCGACAAAAAAAATTATAATGTTCAAACGTTAAGGTCGTACAACATCTCATTTATAAACAGGAGCTCATATATGTATCATCAGCGATTATGTGATTGCGATCTTGCAAAAAAACAATTTTGTATTGAGTGGCTGTCTATGCAAAAAAATCTTCGTATTACACCTATTTGCAATTGTAAGTAATAGATTTACATGTGAAATAAATACGCATATTGAATTTAATAATTTTTACGTAAAAAAGGAATGATGAAAAACAATAAACGAACGAACAGGCCTGTGTATTGATTTAGTAATTGATGATCGTGCTGATTATCGTTACGCAAAGGTATGACATTTAGAAAAAATCGACTAAAATTACAATAAGAAATGTCTTTTTAAGTAAATTTTTATTTGTTACGAATACTATACATATATAAATGATCATATATGATATATAATGCTACGTGTACACCTGAAAATTACCCTATAGGATGTCTTTTTGACTAAAAAATAAATGAATAAATAAATAAAAGATGAAAATTTGAAATTTGACACGGAAAGGTGAAGCTTAAGTGCCAAAAAGTTTAAAAAGATATACTTTATTAATATCAATACTATACCGTATGTATAACCATCGCATAAGAACTTGATCAAACAATGGAAGTATCTATTTAATATCTATTACGTATATGAGATAATTATTATACACATGTACTTGCCGAAAATTTCAAGATGTTAAAATTCTATGTACATAAATCTCTGAGAGACTGTGAAACTTTGGCACTTTAAAAACCATTAGCATACATTGCGCGTATGACATTATATGTATATACATGGCAATGATATTTCTACGGCGTAACAAGCGCGATGATAAGGTGTACGACTTAGCTAAGGAAGCTGAAACTGCTCTAATATTTCTAGCCTCCTGGCTGAATGAAAAACTTCTGTTGAGAAACATCAAGTTGTACGACACGGTTGATTTAGGAGTTTAAATGATGATGCTTTCAATTATACAAATTCAAATGATATGTTCTGATGTTAAGTTTGAGATAATGTCATTCGCGTTTCTCTCGTTATTACTGTTTTTTAAACGACTAAAAGAGATTTAACAAAATATAATTTGTACATGTTAATAATATGTAAGTGCTGCGAATGAACAAAAATTTGAATAAAAAGTTTATTAAAAACAAAACTTTCTGTCATATTATTTATTGTTATGAGGACTCATAAATATTTGTAAACTTTTTTACAATTTATTGTTGGTAACAATTGCATTTTATTAATTTTTAATTTCACCAATAGTGAGACTATAAAACATTTTTTTTATTGACCTCAAGCTGTCCTTCTTCTTAATGAAATATTGTTCATAAACGAAAAGATTATTAAAAAGATTATTAAAAAGAAATAAAAAGCATGTTTGTTTTTTTATAATTATTCATTTCCGTAAAAAGTTGTGTCTTTCATGTATCCATAAAGTTTTTCTATTGGTAAATCAATTTCTTAGTTTTTAACTTTCATTCTCAAAATGTTCAAGAAGTGAACTTTTCAAATTTGCAGAAAATAAAAGTTTACCCCTTAAACTGCACTAAATTCAATTTCATTGGGAATTTTAAATAATTGATTAGATTAAAAATGAACTTATCCTTCCCTTGCCCTACAGTAAATATCGATCGAAAGCGCAAACGCCGCAAACCAGGCTCGCGCCATCTAACGAAGGTAACAAAGAAGATCGGTAAAACCTTTTCGACCTATGATAAGAGGGGAAATATTCTACTTTCAGTAAAAGCTCAATTACGTCTACTAAAAAATAAAAAGAACAAGAGAAACTGATGTCATACCGACTGAAAAATGTTTACCAAACGTAGCGTCTACCGATATGAGTTACCCCTACATTACCAGTTTTTGGTACTTGTAGTTCCCTAAATTACACTCCAACACTCGAGCTAAAAATCTCGTGCTTTTAGAACTGTACTAACAGCTGCATAAGAAAATTTGTAATCAATAAAATCATTGTTCTATTTTGGTTTCCTCAAACATTTACATTTTAAAAAGATATTCATTCACCGAAGTCCTATTGATTCACCGGGCCATACTATGTCATAAAATTTACACACGCAGTTAGGGTAGTCAATAAAGGAAACATTAGAAAACTCTTGTTTCAATCAAGTTATCCAGTCAATTCGAATGCGAAGGCTCTTCCCAACAATTGCCAGCAGATGTATACATCTCTGAAAGTTAGGCAGAAGACGCTGGAACGAGGAAAAAGTTCACTCTTCTTTTCACGCGATTATCTCAGGCTCTCGTTCGTTTCTCTCTCGGCGGAGATGTCACCGATCCGATACAGCGCGGGCCGGAATCGCGCGATGAATACTTAAAAAACTTTTTCCTCGGATATACTAGTCGCGCATAAAGTATTGGATGCAGCGTGCTCGAGGGTCTGACGCATATAAGCGACGCTAAAGTGAGTTACGGCTCGTAGCTAGCCACCCCGTACGTGGCATCTGACGCCTCTCTTTCTCCCTCTATCTCTCGATACGTCTTTAGTCAATTTTTTTTCTCTCTTTCTTTCTTCGATGCTAGTCAGACTTGTCGCTCTCTTGCCAGTCTACGATGTGACGGATTGGTCTTTTTTTTCGGCGCATCGAGCCGCACACACACAGCTATATATCGAGATCACTTTTATTTCGCTCACAGAAATTGTTTATAAATTCTTAATTGTTACGCATTCGGGGCGACCCTTTGGGCAAGAAGAAACGAATAGTCTTACGGATCGCAGAAGAAAAGAGAAAACTAGACGATAAACGGACTCGCTGCGAATAAAGAGATATGGGGAGAAAAAGGACTCGAGAGTATAAGACCTCGGAGCTTATCAATGATGCAGCTAAAGGAGATGTGTTGTACGCTAGTTCAGGGGGCGATCTCTCGATCAAGACTGTACCAGGCAAATAATCACTATTTTCCGCTACTCTATATGTATACACGAAACAGTACAGCAGTACAAGTGCCCGAAAATCGTGTCGAATCGGTGGAGATCATTTATTTACGAGGCCTTCGGTAATGAATCGCCATGATCGCTCGTGGGGAGGCGCACGCTGCACAGACGACGGACGTGTCATCGCCGGCTATACACGCTTTAACGTGAAATATTATTACGCCGAGCCGCTGCTATTATACACGTCCGCTCAAATTGAGATTGCACCGGGTGTATTGGTATTTTGACGGATCATTTTTTAAGGCATCGATAGCGTCCTCTAATCGACGACAAAAAGGAATCGCTTTGCTACGTGTCGCGCACCGCAAGCCTTTCGCACCTTGAGAGGCGCCATTCATTTTATTCCGCTTGAGAAAGAGAGAGCGAGAGCGGGCGGCCGTCTTGCCCATTTGTTAAAAGGGGAAGCTTGACAACTCGCTGTCTTATTAGAGGACTTCTATGGCCTTTGGCCTGATAAATCGCTTTTTTCTTCTTTAGAAAAGCTCGAGCCAGCCGGCAAAATATACTTTACAGCATTGGCTCGTGCTTGCTGGAAAAAATGCACTTCATTCTTACGCTCTTTAATATAATTCACGTCGTTTTTTAAACCCCCGAAAAAAATTCATCTCTCTCTCTCTCTTTACTTCTGACTGGGAGGAAGAAAAAAAAACAATTAAAATTAAATAATAAAATATTCCCGCGCTCGCGCAGTACACGCAATTCACGTTCTGCGGGCGCGCATATCGAAAATTTACATATCGCACGTAATATACACACATGCGTGCATTCAGCCAACCGGGCTCATGAAAAATTCACGTTTACACGCAATTCTTCAACGGACAACGCATACACATGTGCGCGAACCGTGGACGCGCTCGCAAAAATGTTTAGAATTTATTTTCACCCGAGTTTTCGCGCGCACATACATGCGTTGTTTCAGCCTGCACGTGCGTACATTCGGTGCCTGAAAATGAGCTCGATTCTTAATTGACTTAAGCTCGTGCGCGAGAAACGTTTAATATTTTCACGGCATATTGTACGGACTGTAGGCTCGGTTAAAATTTTCATGTTTTGTATGTTTTTGCGAATTTTCACACGAGCTATTCGTCATTTTATTTCCAGAGAGGCTTTTATATTTTTTGAGTTTAAAAGTTATACGGCATCGAATGTATTCGAAGTTGTGAATTTCAATGGAAAATTTGACCAATTTCTCTGGTTTACCATAGTATTTTATATGAAATTATAAAATGGAATATTTTTGGAATTTTTTCCGTTCTTTCGTAGGGCTACATCAGTCACAATCGCAAAATAGAGTAACGTCGGACTTCGCACGTAGTTTATTTGTACTCCCTTCATCGAATTTCTAAAGACTGTTGACGCATAATCCGTTGCCTCGGCTCCCTCATCTAAAATTCTATTAAGCGGCAAACAGTGACACACAAGCGAGAGAATAAAGAAAAAGGAAAAAAATAAAAAGCTCGCAGGCCGAAAAAGGCTCGCAGGACTCGCCTCGCGTAATTTAGGGGGAAATGACATTTTTGTCCACGTGTATAATCCGGTGAGACGTTGAGCTTTCGAGCTTTAATTATTGTTAGATAGATTTCGAATAACTGACTGAAAAAGCTCCTGCCGCGAGCAAGCGCGTAATTACACTTCTATTCTCGTTATCTTTTTGCGGGATTTTTGACGAATTGAAATTCTGCGGGCCGACGCGCGTGCACGTGTGCGTAAAAATATAAAAAGCACTCGCGCTCGAGCTTTTTCCCATTCGTTGCATGTACGCCGCAAAATAGTCTCTCTCTCTCTCGCCGTGTGTTCGCGGTATCCGAATGCACATAAGGAAAAATACATGCGCGTGTATGTATAACAGACAGGACGGAATACGAGCTCTGGCTTTCTCCTCTCCTTTTCTCTCTCTGTGTGCGTTAGTATTATTTACACTCTTTCGCGCTTGGCCATTTCGCATGTAAAAGCCCTTGCCGCATACGAAGGCTGTCGCTTGCGTTTAGCCATATCAGACGCTTGCGCTGCATGTGCGTCTGTGTGAGTGTGTGGCGCGCCGCGCATCACAAATGTTTTATTCAAAATAGCTGCTGCACACGCCCTGAGAGCTCTCGGAGAAAATTTCGCAGGTTTATCGTAGGAAAAAAGAACGAAGGAAGAAAATGTTCACTATGAGCGTGGTCTAGGAGTTTTGTGATTTTAAAAGCTCGATCCACAATCCATGCCCGCGAATAGAACAATATCGAACTTGCACGGCCAGGCATTTGGGTACGTCGAGCTCGAGAGTATTTACGTACATAGTTATAGCGAAAAAGGCATGATGCATGTAAACGGTACTATGTACAGTAGCCGCATGCAGGCAGGCAGGCAGGGCACAGCCAAGCCAAGCGGTCATACATTTGATATCCGTGAAAAGAGGGTTGGTCTCTGCGGGGCTGTGAATACTTTAATAGTCATAAGGTGCGCGCGAGCGACGGTGGCCGCATGTATTCTCGTCCCACGCGTATCGTATAATGTACCTAGAGCGTCGTAGATGGAGCGATCTGCGCAATTTCGACGACGATGTTTGCGGATCCCAAGTATTTCATCCGACGCGGGTACCGAGCTGATTCTTCCATTTCCTTTAGCATGATGTATCGCGGGTTAATTCATAATTTTGCAAATAAAAAGCGAGTAAGTTTTTTTTCGTGCCCACAAATCATGGCGCATCAACGAGCCTCGTTGCGCTGCGAACTTCTCTCTATTACAGAGCAAAAGTAAGCGAGCGAGAGAGAGAGAGAGAGACCCATATCAGACTTGGCATAGGCACACACACACGTATAGTTATACACACAAGCTCCAGCACACAGTGTAATAGACTCTGTGCAGACATTACGTCGCTCCACTCCTACGCGCGTATAAATACTAGCAATCTGTTAATCGTTCGGGTACTGTTGCTCGCTCTCGCGCGCCTGCGTACCTTGCCAAAAGCTATTAATCTTGCCCAGAATGCAATAACTGTCCGATCCATGTGCCTGTTCGCAACGAGCCGGCGCTGCTGCTATATACCTATAGCAAGTCTGTGCAATGCAGCTACGCTTGCCACCGCACCAACGGCGAGCTCTGGCTACGTCAGGATTCTCCAGCGGAGTCTACGGATTGTGTGAGAGAATGCGAGATTTCTATGTGTATAAGGGTTTATTTGCTACTGCTGCTGCTGCTACTATCCTTGCAAGCTCGTACGTCGCCACAGTCTCTGCGAGCCTATATTGATTCGAGCCTCGGCCGTCACGAGGTACTTTGAAAAATTGCGCCGTGGATTTCGTGAATTTCGACGCCCGAGAAACGCCCAAACGTCGACGCTACGTGTGGAGCAATATTACGATATATTTGACTCGACAAATTATTCGATGTATAACAAAGATTATTAAAATGAAAAAACGGGCAACGCGATGGGAGCGGTCCTTAAAAATATTTTTTTCCTCTCTTCGTACCCTCCCCGTTTGGCTATATGTGAGCGTATGAAAACGCAAACAACGGATGGCAAATATATTGGACCTTTGAGAGAGAAAGAGAGAGAAAAAGAGCGGAACAGTTTGCTTAATTGCCGCAGTGCCAATTTTTGTTATTGCCTTTAGACCGCTCTAGTACATAAGCGCTCGGACATGAGTTATTTCCGATTTCAATTGACTATATTCATGCCGCCTCTGTGTAAGAGAGACCTTTTTACATAACGAATTTTTTCCCCCGCGTTGTACGGCAGCGCAGAGGAAAATTGCCAATGGGAAAAAAGTATGCACACATGGTTTACAAATGGTAACAGCTTTTTATTAATAATAATAATAATAATAAATAATTGTTAATAATAATAATGGTAATAATAATAAGGACATTATGATCAATGACATAGTAATATTTTTCTTATAGATCAGATAGCGAGGTCGATATAATTACAATAATTACATGACACCGGTAAAAGTTTTACAACAATGATAGTTTTTTTTCTCGTTTCGTAATTATAACGCATAGTAGTGGCGAAGAAGTATAGGAAGAATAATTATGCGTGAAATTTTCTATTTGTAAAAGTTTACTCGAGCGACGAGCCTTTGGTTCGCTGGTATCTTTGGTTAATGATTTTATATTGAGTTCAATCTGTTCAAGACTTTTGCATATTTATAATCAATAGTTTTACATCTTTTGTCGTATATATATTAAAGATTTAGCGTATTAACTTGATGTTTGTAATTACTCTATCGTACGAATTGGCATATAATATTTACAAGTGTGTATATTTTTGGTCACATTCGAATTAAGCTACGAGCCGAGTTTCGATTTTGTTTTTGTTTTTACACATCTAACATACACAAACGAACCTATTTTGCGTTGAATGAAAATTGTCAGCCCAATTAATCAATAATACAATATAAATAATTTGTCTAATTATGTCGTCTTAAGTATTAAATAACAACAAACAGAAAAAAACCTCTCCAATAAATCGATTGCACTAATTGTAATTTACGAAGCTATACATGAAATTTTCTTACGATCCTACATTTGGATTCAATTTTCGTTATTTTTTGGATATTATCACACGATGTACAATAATGTATATAATTGCTATTATATCTATACATAATTTAATTTTTTTTTGTTCATTTCTTAAACAGAGTGGCTGTGTGCGCACGTGCGATGAATTGACGATCAAAAGTTTACTTTAAATGTATAATTTATTACTTACAATGTTTAAAAGTCTTCAATTATAGGATACACAGTAGTGACTATATGTACAATTCAACCTACATTTATTTATAAATCCTCTAAAAAGTCAAAATGCTTCTGAAGTTGAAATGAAACGCGCGACTATCCCACCAAGTCGGAGATCCGTGGAAAAGCTCAGTGCAGCATGGCGGCCGCGGCTGCAGCGGCGGCGGCAGCGGAATTGTTGGCCGCAGCCGCGGCGACTACCACCGCGGCGGCAGCAGCGTTGGCGGCCGTCGACGACGATGTCAGGCCCTGCTGCTGCTGTTGTTGCTGTTGTTGTTGTTGCTGCTGCTGCTGGGCCATGGCCGCCGTCGCCGCGGCCACACGGTGCACGCTGTTAGGTCCGGAGCTCGCGCCGCTGACTCCGCTGCTCGTCGGAGGCGGCGGCGGCCCGGCGATGTCGGCGTGCTGAGTCTCCCGATGCCTGCGCAGATCGACCTTGCGCTGGAAGGCCCGTCCGCAGAGCTCGCAGGCGAAGGGCTTGTAGCCGGTGTGCTTGCGCGAGTGCGTTATGAGATTGCTGCTTTGGGAGAAAGCCTTGCCGCACACTTGACACTTGTGCGGTTTTTCGCCTGTAACACAGCAAGAAGACGGGCATGGCTTGAGTGAGACATTCGATATTATTATGTATATAGGGTATGATCGCAGCTGCGTAAGGGAGCTGCTGGTGCTCGCCTCGCAGGAGCTGATGTATAATGTATAAATTTAATAAAAATCATCGATCTCGCGCGAGTCAGAGAGCGAGCGAGAGAGATAGCGAGTCACTCGGCAAAAGCAGTGCGCGAAAGGGGGGTTAATTCGCTCGCGCTAGCTGCACGGAATCCAGGATTCGGGGCACGCCCGGTCAAGATTTGCAGCGTCGCGAAACCTGCGCGTACTCTCACACTCGCTGCTGCTGTTCTCTGCACTCGCTTTCACTCGCTCACATACGTACACCGAGAACGAGGACGAAAACCAAGACGACGACGACGATGAACACGAGGGAAAGGAATCTCAGCCCCCGAGCGCGCGAGATAGAGCCCGAAATATAGCAGTGAGGGGAAAAGAGAGCATCCTGATTGGTGGCCGGGGGCGGCTCCCAGAACTGCCGTAACCATGACTACGCTAAAATGAGACGAGAAAGACGCGCGCAAGCGGCGGCGCAGAGCGAGAGAGAGAAGCGCAAGCTCGGCTCGCTGAAAGAGCGAGAGAGAGCGAACCATTAGACTAAAGCTCGGAGCTTTTAATGGACTCGCCAACTTTAGTTTGAAAGTCTGCTCTGATGCTGCTCTCTCTCTCTCTCTCTCTCTCTGCTCTTTGTGCATCCCTCCGGCTTGCTGAAATGATTGTTATTTCTTTGCCCGTTAGTTTTTATTGCACGCTAAAAAAAAAATAAACGAGCCCTACTGGCAAAATTTCCAGCAAAAAAATACGACACTTCGATTAAAATGTAATCAAAGCGCTTCGAAGAAATGAAAATGCGCAAACGAGACATCAATAAAAAAAATAGGAGGACTAACTTTTCAGATTAAATCTATATTCTCGCACTCGCGTGTTATGAGGGGTATGCGGGGGTGTGCGGCGATGAAATTCCAAGATCATAGCCGAGAGTCCAAGAATCGCCACATTCAGACGCTATACGTGCTGCGTACTGTACATAAGCGGGGGATGATAAGAAGCGCCAGAAGCGAACAAGAGAGAGAAAACAAAATTTACGAGCTCGTAAAAATCAAGAAGCGCTTGGAGAGCCGAGCTTGGGCCCTCCCCATCTCATACGTAGCACATATACATAGGCATGCACGTAGTCAGTTCACGTATTACCGTAGTTGACTCGCTCGCAAGCACAGGCACACACATACGGACTCGCTAGACTGAGCTGCGCGCGCCGCAACTTATATAAGGGAGTAAAAAAGGGTTGTTCTCGCCAGGTGAATCGAAAGATTTTTTTCCCATCGTGCGCTCGCCTGCTTTGGCGCTCAGACTGCAAGAGAGCTTTTAATTTACCATCAAAAATAAAATAAAGCATCAGAGGAGGTGGCGGTCGTACGCGCGCGCTCGCGTGTAAAAAGTTTTTTTTTCCGGCCAACTTTTTCGTTTATCCGCGCGCGCACCTGCACGAATATAAGAGAAATAAAAAAGGCAGTTAGGAAAGCGATCAAAGAAGCGTGAACGGAGCCGAGAGAGAAGCTGAAATTCTTTTCTACGCTCTCTTTTTTTTCAAGCAACCCTCGAGCTCGCAAGATTTGCCGTTGTTTAATACAGTTTTAGAAAATGTGTGCGAAGGACGGGATCCGTGCGCTCGTTTCGGAGCTCGCTCTCGACGCTGCGGGAGTATAAGGCGGCGATGTATATACGTGTAAGCGTGGTCGTATAATGGCGTCTTAAGTTTCCTCCTTCGGATGCGAATAGAGAGACCCTCTTATACTGTCGTCATTCATGCACGCCAGGCGAAATGTAATTTTCACGCCTCTCCCTTTGTCAGCGGCGGCGGCGGCGACGGCAGCAGCGGTGCTCGGCAGGTATATATACACTTGCAGCCAGGGCAGAGATTAGCATATTCATCGAAAATTTATAGCGAGTAAAAGCTCGGGAAGCTTAATTATGACTGAGAGAACAAGCTATTGCTTCGCGATATTGCGGTAAGTTTTGCGCGCCACGATGCCTCGATGTATAGCGTCTTGGGACTCGGTATTAAGATCATTCATAAATATGTATTCCAGCCGTATCGAGATACGCGTGTATGCGATCGCGAGGGCACGCACAAGCAAAACAAGCTGCACTGCAGCCAGCGAGAGAGATAAAATCCAAACACGCTTCGAGTAAAAGTTTATCGAAAAATCGATCATCCAGCCGGAGCTGCTGAGAAAAGAAGAAGGTGGAGATTGCTGAAGAAGGGATGCGAGCTACTGGTGGGAGGAGGAAGATTCCTAGAAGCACTATATAAAGCATTGATTTCTCTCTCTCTCTCTCTCTCTCTTTCTCTTTCTGTTGGAGAGGCTGGCCTCCAATCGCAAATCCCGCGAGAGGAGGAGAGGAGGTGTATATATGTACGCGAGGAGAGAGAGAGAGAAAGATACATCTCATATTTCAAGTCGAGGACAGCCGAGGATTTTCTCGAAGAAGAAGGAGCAGCGCCGTATCAATCAGTCTCAAGATCATCCATTCCCGCAAGGCAGAAATAGAGACGTCGACGTTTTTCACTCGTTGCCTGCTTTAGGATCGTCGAGTTTTACGCGGCTTCTGCTGCTGTACACGCGATATCGACGTCGCAGCACAGCGCACGGAGCGAGGCCAGCTCTACTGCTATATACGACCGGACGGATGGAAAATTAATTTGTTGTGCTCACGAGTGTCGAAATTCCCCTGGACGTTGTACGTTGCGTGTGTATACACACTGCAGCTCGAGTGAATCGAATGGCTACACGGCATCCCCGAGCGATCGTCTCTCTTTATTATTGTATACAACGAAGCTCGACACAAGCTTATAGTTACACACATGAGCTTTGGAAATGCTGCATGCAAGCTCGTGCATATAGCTTGCAATTTTAATCTTAAAAAGTGTGTCTTTGAAGGAAAGAATAAAAATCGACGAAGCTCTACGATTCCGCAGCTATATATATACTACTACGCCCGTTGCTCGTGTAACATCACACCTCTGCATCGGCTTTCTTCAAGCGCGCGAGAGAAGAAGAGAGAGATAGACTGAAATTTCCACTTTATTAACGCGAGGCATGTGGCAGGTTGCATAGTGTCGAAAAGTTTGCGGGAAGCTGCCTTCGTCTATATACACTGCTTACATGCGATTGTGTACACACAACACCATATACAAGCACACAAGTACATAAGCGAGGAAGGGATCTACGTGTGTATGCTTAGCCGTACATGAATCCTAGCGTATATTATACATGATGAGATATACATGCGACTTGGGGCGTCAAGTCAGTCGGAAACCTCTAATGGCTTTAGAGCACATCTCGGATACACGACCGCATATGTATACACATAGGCAGGCGTAGCAGCAACACCTATACATAATGCAATAATCATGATCCGCCGCACATATCGCCCGGGATCTTATGTATGTGCGCAGTGCAGCAGTGCGGCTACGAATATGTCTCTGTGCGTGTCTGTGTGTACACAGGCTCGCCTATATACGTATAATTTAACTAGAAAATCATGAGTTTTTTCTCCCTCTATGTGCTTTTCTCTCTTTCCTGCTCTCTCTCGCTCTCTCTTTTTCGTCTATTTAATATTTAACGCCGGAGACTAGGAGACCTTCGCGCGCGATATTATAACAACAGCATAGAGAGCAGAGCAGAGGCTTCTGCGGTTAGGTACATACACGTACGCTATATAACAAGCAAACTTTACTTTGCCACGTCGCAGCGATTGGACAGGTTGACTGTTTATCTTGAAAACAAAGTGGGGCGAGGGTCTGCCTATGCGGTATATGTGTGTGTGTGTGCGCGTTCACGCTCGCGCCCGAGTACACATGCATATACCTAGGCATATAGCATTCAACGATAGAGAGAGAGAGAGAAAGAGAAATTATACAAACGAAAAATTCGCTTCGACAATCGTCGAATTGAAATATTTTTCTTTCATCCAGACTGCTCGAGTAATTTCATCCTTCTTTTTTTTTTTATATCATCATTCAACACGACTGGCGAAATCTCACCGCAATTCGGCACTTGCAGCAGTAGCAGTGGCAGTGGCACACGTACACGAGAGCGGCAGCAGGTCAGACTGCACTTGACTATATATACAAGCTCACACCCATGAGTTAGCAGGAGTTGGCAGCAGCAACAGCAGCAACCCCTATCCCATTGCCTGGGCTGGAACGCACTGCGCGCTACGAGTAATATTTACGCAGCTCTTATGCGCGCGTGCACAGGCCAAAAGCCACCTAGCTAATAATGATTTTACGCCGTCAGACTGGTCCCCAGGAGAATTCGCCAAGCAGCAGAAACCAAGCCCCCCACCTGCCGCGCAGCTCCCTTGTAATATAGCACATGGCCCATAGACGCGGCGCACGCACGCACGCACGCACGCAGGCACCATCGGCCTTGCCACCGTCGCTGGCCTTTTTTTTTTTTTGCTTTTCCTTTTCAGTCTTTGTTTCCACATGTGCATGGGGGCTGTAGCAGTTATATACATACTACTTGTCCACGGACTCTGCACGCATCGGTGCTGTTCCTCTCGTACGTTCTGATTGACTTTTATCTTTATCGCTCATATGAGCATTGTTTTATTGCTACGCTCGTCGCTGCTACTGATGCTGCTGCGGGGCGATCTCGCTCCTGATCCATGTCCCGATAATTTCTCAGGAAAATTAACACGCACCCGCACACACACACATACCCCTGCTAGATTGGATTGATTTTTATTGAACACATCACATTCGGGTGTAATAATTTATGCGCGTCTGTCCTGCACGCAAAACACATATGACCGCGTTTCTCTTGCATAACTTTTGTACGTTTTCTGCTATATAGTATATTATATACTTCATCCACTTTCATTCCTCTTTGAATGAGTATCCTCGCGAGCGAGCGAGCAAAAAGCGAGAAAAAGAGCTAAAAGACTCGTAATTAAAGAGACGACGCATCGTGCGGACAATGGCATTGTATATACGTCCTCGCGCGTACATAGCACGAGTACGAGCGACAATGGTCTGGAAAAAGCAACATATACGCACACAATTCCCAGCTCGGACCTTACATCCCTTTGAATTTTTCATTTTCGCTTGAATAATGAATTAAATGTTCCGAGTGACCATGGCTTTGTGCGCGTCGTCCGTGAGTGCGCGCGTGTATCGTCGAAGAAAGACACATCTCGGTAAAGAGAGAAAAGCTCGCTAGCCTGTATAGCGCGCAAGGGGGCATGAGGGGGATGAGTGGGGGGAAGCTCGTACGCGTGAGGTGATAATTTGATAAGACGTCGGATAGAGGGTTACCATGACAACCTATATCCTATATACAAGTTCCTCTTCTCGCTGCTGCTGCGCATGGCACACGGCTTCTTCCCTCAAGTCCTTTTTCCCGCCTCTGACTGTGCGGATACTACTGTGCTATACTACGGACGGACGGACGGAGCTAGGCATTCGACTCGAGCGCTGAAATCCATCCTCGCAGTCCGAGTGTCAAGTGTCTCTTTGCGTTCTCCCGATAGACGGCTTTTTTCCTTTTTTTTTTCTCTTTTTTTTTCTTTATTCGCTCGTTTCGATCTTCTTCCTTTGCTTCTTTTTTTCCCTTTTTTATTTTCTCTTACAACGGCAATGGCAGCAGTGCACGAGACTGACGAGAGATGTGCACGCGGGAAAACTGCGATGTGCACGATTCAGCTTGGAGCGCCGTACGTGCTCGCAGCTGTGCAGAGCTTTTTTCCTCTCCCTCTCTCTCTCTCTCTCTCTTTTGCGCAAATGGCAACGAAAATTTCAAATTGCATAATGCAGCAAAAGAAAAAGTTGTAGAAAAAATTCGGAAGACGAGGACACTGCGTCGAGCGATCTTTGCAACGGCTAATCGGGCGCATCAATTGATTCCCACAGACAATTTGTCGGCAGTAAAAATCTATTTTGGTATTACACACGGGGGTACGCAACAGAAGCAGTAGCAGAACTGCTCTTGTGCTTTATACGTGCGTGTGTCTGTGTGTATACATAGCAGAGAGAGAACGAAAAAGGGAGAGAAGAAGGATGGGCGCGAGCGAGCAAAAAGTTAGCAATCACCCCGAGGAAAAGACATTACGATTATTACAGCTGGGGTGGGGGCGCTCACTCGAGCTCAATCTCGTTGCATACGTGCTCTCCACATATATCTATACAGGCACCCATAACGTATGTATAGCAGGATTAACTTGTTCTCTTATATTACGGGAGAGCTGCACAAGTAGCTGCTGCTTCATAGCCTGGCAGAGTTTAGATTATTAATGACTCGAAATATCTCTCATCTCGTCACAATAAATACTGAAGAGAAAAGAGAGAATTTGGCACACACACACACAGATACTGCACACCGAGACTCGCAGAAACTCGACTTGTCTCGTTAATATTTCAGTCCAACAGTTTAGCCGTACGAATACACACGAGCTCGCGCACGGAAAAAGCGGCTGTGCAGCGGAGGACTCGTGTGTCTAGTGATCGATACATAAATATAGATAGAGATACTCACCGGTGTGGATGTAGGTGTGCTTCTTCATGTCGCTCTTCTGGTGGAAGCGCTTGCCGCAGAACTGGCAGGGGTAGGGCCTCGTGTCCGAGTGTATGAGCAGGTGAGTACTCAGGGTGCTCGAGCGCTTGAACGCCTTGCCGCACTGCTTGCACTCGAAGACCTTCTCGGCCGAGTGGACGGCCCGATGCTGCGTCAGGCTGATCTCGTGGCCGAACGTCTTGTTGCACAGCTCGCAGGCGAACGGACGCTTGCCGTTGTGAGATCGCCTCGCGTGCACCTTCGGTTCCGAGAGACAAACAAAGAGGAAATTAGGTCAACTGGCTCGGAGACTATCGTATACGAGTTAGCCAAGAACTGCAATTACTTCGAGGCCGTGGGGCGTGCTGAACATCTTGTCGCACTTGACGCAGCTGTAGACGTCGCCCAGCGGATGGGGATGGTGCAGACCGTGGGGCCCGTGGGCCGTCGGGTGCAGGCCCGGATGAGCCTGGCCGGGATGATGCACGCCCCTGAGCAGCGGGTGCAGGTGCGGCGGTATCAGGTGCTGGGGCAGCAGCTGCGGGTGCAGATACGAGAGCGGATGGTGCGCGTGGGCCAGGCCGCTCTGCAGATTCAGGGGCGAGTACACCAGGCCCGGACTGACGTTGCTGCTCTGCTGGCAGTGGGCCGACGGCGGATCCGGCCTCAGCAGGGCGCTCACGCTGAAACTGTCTCCCGATCTGTGAAATTTAATTTCGTACTCCTTTTAAATAGTTGCAATTTTACAGAGAATTAGTTTTTGGATCGAACAGATGACGCTATTTAAGCGCTTATAATTTCATCTATTAAAACCAATTAAAAATCATTAGCTGATTTTTACCTAATTTCTCTAATTCACACTATTGCTATAATTCTTATATTGAGTGCAAATTTAATGTAAAATTAGACGTAGTATTTTATGTAATATTTTTACACGAAACATTCATTGAAAAAAATGCCTCAGTACTGATTTATCTCTTTTTTTACATAAAATGTACAAAATGATCAGTACACAGTATTAACATTGCAAAAATGAACAACGAAAATTTCAACACTTTGTTTGAAAATGAATATTTTAATACTACTATAGTTTGTACGTTAAAATCTTGACAAATGTATCAAAAATTAATAAAAACTGAAACCAAATTCTACCACTAGATGGCGAGTACCTGTATTTGTAAACATGCAAGGGACAACGTTAACGAAATTGTACAAGTGAAAGCCAGGTTGTAATAAAATTTATCCTTGATATAGGTGTAACATGATATTGGTGACATACGCGTTAGAATGATTCACAGATGAAGCCTTGACATACCTTCTAGGTGGGTTGGTCGAGGTGCTTCTCGTGAGCGCAGGCGGCGAGGGCGGAGAGGCCGATCTCGGCGGGCTGGAACCTTCGCGCTCGTCCTCGTCACCGACTTCCTCGACGTCGACATCGATCTCCTCGTCGTCGACGTCCACCTCGGTGTCCTGGTGATCGGTGCGCGGCGAGTCCGGACATGGCGAGTGCGACAGCGACCTCCGAGGACTTCTCGACAGCGGCGAACCGACCAGTCTTCCGACTCCGAACGACAGGCGATCTGTAAAAGTCGTTTAATTTCGCCGATGTACAAAGAGAACGGGAGAAGAACGAAATAAAATAGAAACGAAAAAAAGAGGAAAAGAGCATCTCCTTTGGCCTCGATAGCGGCAGCAGCAGCAGCAGCGTGCGCCGCAACACAATGAGATTTGAGTCACGTAACGTACATCTTTTTCCCGAAGCTGCTGCTGCTGCTGCTGCTGCGGGGAAGCTTGTCGGCGAGCTAACGAGCTCTCGAGCAAAAGAAAGTCGGAAAATCTTGAAGGCGTATTCGCGTATATACAGCCCCAAATTGTATACGGTACATATACACCCGAGCTTTAATCTCGAGAAAAATATATATAAGATAAAAAGCAGCTCTCGCCTTCAATCGAGATTTATATATGATAAATTGAAAAATCAGTAGCTTACGTCGAAATTCAATATGCTTATGGCTGTACATATATATAGCGAAAGAGAGAGAGAGAGAGAGAGAGAGAGAGAGAGAGCCCCTTGGACGCCAATTCATGGCGTATAGCTATCGAGTAGTAGGTGAGATCGTGCGTGCGAATCAAGTGCGTGCTCTATATTATATTGTAATATAGGCGAGTAATATATATAAGTAATATCGCGTATTCATACACGACAATGCATCTCAGCCCGCAGAATATGAGTGAGAAATTTAAGTGCGAAGCTCTTGGGTTATTGGCGTGCACGCGGCGGCGGCGGCGTCGAGTCGAGCGTCGAGATCGGCCTGCACTTGCCCATGCGCGCTTAGATTTCTTCCATATAGCATCGTGATTTATAAGCGTATACTCTTTCATTCTCTCGCCTGTATACTACAATTGATTCGTATAATACAGTATATGCGTATAACCATCTGGTATTGCACGAGAGCAATTCGGGATCCTTTCCCCTCCTCCCCCCTGACCCCCGATGGAATATCTCGCGCGCGAGCTGCCGGCCTGATCGTATACATTCGCATATTATATTTATAATCTGGCATATACGCGCGGTCACGTGCCACTGCTGCTATACTCGCCTATATTATTATTATGTATTCAGTGTATAACAGTAGGCAGTGACGCGTCAGCTATGGAGACACGACTGTACGAGAAGACTAATCGCGTTTTTCAAAACTCGCAGAAGAGCACGCGCTCGAGTGTCCAATGTGTGTGTGTGTATAATCGCGCATATATCGTGCGCACCCCGTGTATGTCTATATATAATAGCCACAATGCACCGTAAGCTACAAGCTCCTACCCGATATTATGAGTCTTGATCGATTTCCCATTATTATTATCATCGTCGCAGCCCCGCACTCGTACAGTCACAAGTGCATAATGCGATTATCTTCTTACACGCGCAAAGATCGAAGCAGCGCAGATACGGATCTTGTACGGGGTTGTAATGCGGAAATCCGAAGCTTGTGGATAATCATTAAGCCGCGCTTCTTTATGAATACGAAAAATCAGCGAATACGTTCTTTTTGGGCCCCTCGTCGAGAGCGACAAATCTAAACGTTTCACTTGCCCCGTACTTACGACTCGCGGAGTTTCTCGCGCGCGACGAATAACATCGTGTAAATAGCATGCACTGCTGCTGCTGCTGCTAAAACGCGGCGTAAAACGACCTCCCCGCGGACATATGACAAAATAATCCGCACGCACGCACTTGCATGCTCTCGAGGTTCGCTCGCTCGCCACTTAGTCTCACTTCATCTCAAATCAAACAACTCGTAAAACTCCTCGGCTCTTATTCTAACTATAGATACGCATTTGCACGAACTGGCTTGTATGTGTATGTTATATACCGGCAAAGTGCAGACATTGCGCGTCTGCGGCGTCGCATGGGGTCTGGCGCGCGAGAGCTAAAAAAAGTGCGCCTGGGAAAAGGGCTCGACAGGCGCGAGCGAGAAAAAAAAAGAAAAAGCACATGAGCGATGCGATGACTGCTCGAAAGACAGCGAGAGATCTGCGAGCGGCGTAGTATAAGTATTATCCTATATGCGTGTATTTGCACGAGAGACAGATGGGCGCCTCTGCTGCTGCTGCTGCTGCTGCTGCTGCTGCTGTTGCTGTTGATACTGCCTATGGTCTCGCACAAAAAAACACATAACGTCTTCATGAGAGCGAATTCCTATATCGTATGCGCTGAACAACGCACTGAAATCTATACGTATTATCAAGTTGCGCAATTCAAGCGATGCAATTCCTCCTTCGATAATTCGCAGCTACGTTTATTATGAGCTTGATGCCCATAGACTCATTTATGTAGGCCATAAATTTGGCGCGCGAGCTGATGGATTCACCCGCACCTTTGATTAAAATGTAAATTGGCCTATAGAGATAGAGAGAGAGAGAGAGAGAGAAAGAGAGGGAGAGCAAAAAAAGAAAATAAATATGAATTCCAGCACGTTGTCATCACATCGTATCAATCAAAAGTTTAGCCGCAATAATCTTTCGCGCCGCTAATATGCCACCTAGCTCCGCACACATACACATAATAATAGCTCTAATAAATCGTAGCTCGTATATATATAACATAATAAGATGTAAGATATCCTCGCGTGTATGAGGGCACATTTTAAACTCGCCGCGTACCCGCACGAAATTCCAGATTTCGAAAGAAGATGGTTAACTTGAGGCTACGTATTATGGCTCGAGCGATCGCAGATTGTTCAAAGCACGCATCGCATCGCAGCGCAGTAGCAACAGCGGCAGCGAACAACTCCGCAAGCGCAAGAGATTAATAAAGGAAGGCCGTATAAGCAAGCTCGAGTGGGGGAGGACAGTAGTAGCAGCAGCAGCAGCAGCAATTAGATCGAGTTAACGGAATAACTTTAATCTTGTGCCGTCTAAGATGCGCTGCAGGAGCGTTTATATTGTGTGCAGTAGCTCTCGCTCGACGATTCGTCGTCGTCGTCGTCGTCGTCGCTATTATCAGACGAGAAAGACCCTTCCGATGGGAGGATTTTTTATTTATACATGTACCGAGCCCGCGCCACGCTGAATTCGCTCGTGTAATGGCCGCGGCCTCGTGCACTCCGAGATCGGCAATTAAATTTTAAATAGCCGATTAATCAAACCTGCGCGTCGATCGCCCGAGCCAGCCCCGCGAGTACGAGTACAAAACGATACACGAGCTTAAAGCCAACAAAAAATCTCAAAGCTCGAGCGAGCGAGCCACGGATCTCGAGGTACAAGTGTACGTAGGCGTTGACTCTTGGTCGCAGCGCTCGAGCTTTTTTTGTTTACCAATTGAGCCGAAGAATCGTAATGGCGATCGGTCTCTCGCGTCGACCCACTCTCCGCAAGTGACTATCCTATTCTTTTATAGCAACAATCAAGTCTTCCGTGCGCGCTGCGATCGCAACTGCAACGGCGGCTCTTTTGTAGCGCAGCACGACTGCGCGCGTGTACGAGCTTATCTTCGAATTAGTCCTGAATGCATATACGCAGCTTTTATACATATAAAAACGCACATATACGAGTGTGTGTATGCGTGTACACATATATAAAGTGGGCTTCCTCATTATGGCAGGCGCTCGGGACGACTGATTCGATTAGAGAAATCGCAGCCTCTTGCTGACGCTGCTCTGTGTCGTGCTTGCGTCGCATCGGCCGCGCCGAGAGGAAGTTTACGTTTTGCTTATTCCTTGAAAAAAAGATTTACCAAAAAAAAAGAAGAGAGAGAAAGAGAAAAGCGAACGATGGTTACTTTACCTGGATCTGATTTTGGAAAAGGTGACAGATTTGTGACGGCGTCGTTGGCGTTGATGAAGGGCGCCCATAATCTTGGAAACATCAATCGCACGTCGCAGCCTGTTTATAGCAGCAACAACAAAGTAAAGAGACGGAAATTATTCATTGTAATTGATAGCAATTATCACTCTTTTACGAGGAGACGAGAGGAGGAAAAAAATAAAGGAGTAGAAGAAGGGTCAATCTGGCATGGTAAGTTATATAAAAGACTTTTACAGAGAACTTAGATGAATTACGTATTCTCCGTACGTAGCGACGATTTACTATGCTATATATGTGTTTGTATGTGTGTGTGCACGCGCAGACGCACGCACGCACACAGACACGGATCTGCCTGCGAAAAAAGAGAGACGAGCGTCTTAATTTGAAAGAAGAAGAGGAGGATTTCCTCCTATTTTTCTCTTCTTTTTTCGGTGCTTTGTTACTCGGCGCGAGCTTTGCTGCCAGCCTGGCGCTCGCGCGTTTATCTCATTTACTTTCATTTTTTTCAATTCTTCTAAACAACTACATAGCCCAGGCGCCCGTTCGCAAATACACATTGTAGTAGACGTGCACCGGTCGTTCGGTCGTGCGAAAAAAAGCAGGAGAAGAGGAAATAAAATAATAAAGCCTCGAACCACACCTTTTTTCAACATTTCTTAATCCCCCAAGTTATATCGCGAGCCCGAGATCAATATAATCGCGCGCGCGGCGACCCGATAAGCTATTACATGCATCGCACCGGCGAAACTTATCTCGACGCTCGCTCGACGTTTTCTTGCAAGGATTATCAGGAATAAATGCGCGTCGCTTATTTCCCCGTATACGTGTAATGTGTGCGAGAACAAGATAACGCGGCGCTGCCTGCGAGCTCGCGCGCGACCGTCTTTTGGCGAATTGTACGCGCGCGCGAGCCAAGACTGGCATGTATCTCCGTGTCTGTGTCTGTGTGTGTATACACCGAGAGTCGTATAAATCAGGCACGAAAAGAGATGATAAAGGAGATTACGTCCGCGACTCGAATCAATTTGAAGCGCGAGAGAGGATTTATAATTGTGATGCATGTTTAATTAATCTGACGCCGAGAGTTGACTTTGAATTTTGATTTACGCAGTGCAGCAGTGTACACTGCCGAGCCTGTATCGCATTAATTAACAAAAACAAACGCGAGAGAGTATATTAAATATGTGTCGATCGACGCTCGCGATTTCCTAATCGCGCTTAATCTTTCGTTATTACATTACACGCATTGATCTTATCCTGGGCAAATTGTGCCGATAAGTTGAGTATACAATAATTTCCTTCTTCCAGATCTTTTTCTCTCGAAAGAATACGAACGAAATGAGGATCCGCGCGCCAAGAAGAAAAAAAGTTGAGAAAAAAAAAACTATAAATCAAACGTTGAGCTCGATGTGATCGTAAAGCGTTAAAGTAATTTCGGTAAATGCGTATATTATATGGCAAGTGTCAATCATGCGATACATTATACGGCACGTAAAAGTGGCCAGTCGCGTACGGGGCAGTGTGCGATAGTAAGCGCCGAGGGCATTTATTACTGCGTTAACCTATTAGCCTGATTAGACAACGACAGCGACGAGCGTCTGATATATCCCTCGACATAGGTAGGCATCCCTTATACATGACCGTGTGCCGTGCTATACACACTCGATCCCGATGTGCGTGCGTATATTTGCTAGCTCACCTGTTGAACCGCTAATATATACACGCAATAACGAGCACACACCTACGCGTAAGCACACATTCGCAAACTGACCAACTGCGTACGTATATAACTTGTCCTCCTTGCGTGACAAAAGCTCCGAGCTCTCGAGGTAATGCACGCCTCGGCCACAGTTTATACGCTCAAATATAAAGAGGAGCTTGCGGGAGAGATACTATCGTCGAAAAAATGTATATTTTTAATGTAATTGTAAGGGCGACTCGATTGGCATATACACAGCGAGAATCCGAGTAATTATAGGTCAAGAGTGGGCGAGCGCGCGTACGCGTCTCTCTTTCGCGTACAGGTGTCCATGTCCACACTGCGTGTACCGTACCGTGTACGCGTGCGTGCAATTGCACTTTGATGCAGGTCCGTCGACATAATAACGGGCTATCGATGACAGACGAGGGGATCTCATCGAGCTGCACGCGTACAGCCTATACAGTTTGGGGAATCGAAATGCAAGAGCGGGAAAACGAGCTGGAATAGATATTGCACCGCCTCGAGCTTTACGCGACGATATAGAGAAATTGAAATTCAGAGTATTACAATAACGAGAGAAGGAAATAAAAAAGAAATCAGACATTGTCACGCGACTTTACGCGGGAATGCGCAATAAATCGCGCGATTGCACACGACGGATTTTCCGATCAAATGATGGATTATTAATGTCATCGTTATCAATTTAATACTACTATTGCACTTTAATGCATCGCATAAAATCAGACTTTCAATGTGTTCATCGAAGCGCGCTAGATAATAATTATATCGAAAAAGTGCGAGGAAAAAAAATAGTAAAAAAGAAGAGGACCAAAAGGTAAAACAGTTGCTAGTAGCGTCGGGAAAAAAGCTCACCCTCTGCGTCGGAAGCTTGCAATCTCGTGCCTCCGTCGACCACCTGCAACAAGCTCGTATTCTCGTTATTGTTCGTCTCTGGCTGCTGCTGCTGTTGTTGCTGCTGTTGCTGCTGCTGCTGCTGCTTCTGATGACAGTTGGAGGCCGCGATCACGTCCTGCGGGTGAGCTTGCAAGCTCGCGAGCTGCTTGGGCTTGACGAGCCTGAAGGCCGAGGCCTCGGCGACGCCGCGCCGCGAAAAGTCCAATGGCCCGACACCAGATACTTGCTGCACCTCCATCATTTTACACAGAACGAGGGACCACCAAAATGTCCAGTTTGAAATACAAAATCAACGAGATCAACGAACGGACTGAACGAAAAAAATTGCGCACACTGTATGTATTTAACGTATAGGGATATCCGCTCTTATCGTCGCTCGCGTCGGATTGTCATCGCGCTCTCGGGCGCGCGGGCGATACGGCGACGCACGTGGTAACGAAGAGACTGCGGACTGGCTCGGCGCTTTTTTGCCGATGAAGCTATCTGCCTAGCAGAATATGCGACGCCAGCAGACGACGGCGACGCTGCTCGAGAGCGAGCGAGCGAAAGAGAGAGAAGCAGACGGAGAGAGAGAGAGAAAAACCCCGCCTACTCCAGGCGAGCCACGCCCTCGACCGCTCGAGAGATCCGCCACCCCCCAGCGCCGTCCCATATCGTAATTGGTTCGAGTTTTGCTTGGGCATGCCAGCGACCGACTGCACTGCGATATATAAAACGGGGTGGGGGGTGAGAAACCACTCCGATGCACGGATTCTATATAGCTCGGGCGTACGAGAGAGCGAGACGAAGAGAGTATACGAGAGAGAGAGAGAGAGAAGAACGTCTTGCAAGAGTCCGAGTAGACGTTCTGATTGATATTTGCCCGATGAGAGTGAGCGAGAGAGAGAGAAGAAAAAAACTGGACTCATGGATACATACACACGTGTAAAAATTGATATGCGTGTGGAAAAGCGAGGCTCGATATTGATTTAATGGAATAATAAAATCGAGCGATAGCCGCTGCACTTGCACTCGCTCCAACGCTTACTACATATTATTATACGTATCGTGTACGATATATTTCGCAAAAAAGAAAAATCAATGGCGTATTTGCAGTTCGTCGGCATTATAAAATTTTATCTCTCGCGCAGAAAAGCCAACTCGTATGTGCTTGAGCCTCGCGCCGCCGGTATCACGACAAATTTTTCGATAAGTGTATATAAACACGTACTCGCTCGCCTTTATAGTTAACGGCGATTTTATCGTGCATGCGAGCCGTCCTTGTGCGCGGATCGAGCTGCTCATGTACAGCACATACTCACACACATGCACATTGCACACACTAATTCGAGCTCCGACGCAGTCCGCGCTCGAGCACGCAGTTAGATATATATGTACGTATACGCAGCTGATGACGCTTAACGCGCGCAAAACGTGTCCGAGGATTTTATGTTTTCTCAGGAAATTGCGCGCAGTTCTGCGCAAATCTGCGAGTTCGTGCCCGCGCACTCACGAGTGCAATTGCGGCGGCGGCGGCGTCGGCTGCGCGCGTACACCGAGCCGAGCTTTTGCTATCGATTTTCTTTTCCCGTGTGCGAAAAAGTCGAGCGAAAAATTTCTCGCTAAATGAAATCGAATCAGATTTTCGGGAATTTAGCTATCGCAATTGCTCCAGAGCAAGTCTCCGCTGAGAATTGCCAGAGCTTTCGGCGAGCTGACGCTGCAAAGCGAAATACGCGTTTATACACATTCCAGGCTGCAAATCCGTCCAACCACGGATATATGTACGTAAATTTAAAACTCGATTATCTGTCATGATTTGACGTCGAAGGCTGCCACCGACGCGATGACACATTTCGCGCAATCGCCTGTGCCGCACACAACACGCGCGCGAAAAAAAAGTTCAGATCAATTGAAACTAATCCTCGTCGCGATCGCTGCCATATATATACGAGAATCCTCGCGCGCCTATTTTAGTACTGCGACAATTTGATGAAATCGTAATCTTAATTGGCGCGTATTGTGGTGTACTGCACACGTCCAGCCGAGCCGACCAGATGATGGCGATGCGAGCTAATTTTTTCTCTCTCTCTCTCTTTCTCTCTTTCCCTGCTAGTAGCATCATGCGGGGGCAGGTATTGCGCACACGGCCTGTGCCACCGATACAATACACAAGTCGGCTCGCCGCACGCGTCCACTTTTCGCTCCGCTATTGACTTTAATAATGTATCAAATGAGTCACAATTGATCGCGGTGCGGGTGGCACGCATCGCCTCGATCGAGTCCGCAAGGAGCGATGTGCACACCCACACACACACACACACACACACACCAAACGATGATCGGCACAGATAATAATTGCCGTATTTGCCTTTTTAGCGCAAAATTTACAAAAACAGTTGCTGACTGTATGCGGGTTCACGGGATTACAATCTACGAAAGATTTGGCAAAATTAAAGGCTTTTTCTCGTTTCAATTATTGCAAAGCCTTTGGGCGTGCGGCTTATCTCGCGTACATCGATGACTCGTTACATATAGACTTAAATTCGAAGGTTGAAAGGAAAGAGAAAAAGAAAAGAAGCGATAAAGGCTGAACGCCGCGTCGATAATAAAAAAAATGTGTAATACTTATTATTGTGCAACAGACAAATCGCGAAGAAAAACACGATATGTATATTATACATTTATGAAACGTCGAGCGCTCGAATTTACTGGCATATGGTCCTGCGCGCGACTCAGAAATATAGGGCGGGTGGACTGCTACTGTGTATACACACGAGTCCTTCAATTTTCTCGGGGTACATTTTAATATTCTCAAATTTACTGCTTTGTTTGCATCGATTATCGAGACGTCGTGGGAGACATTCGAATACGTTTATCATATTTTCAATGTAGTCCAGGTCGTTTCGAACGAACTCAAAAATTATCCTGAATTGAGCAACAGCGGCAGCACTCAAACAATGTAAATAAATCTTACCTCGACACTTATATTAAACGAAGGCGATATCCTGCGAAGAGCGATAACCGCGAAATTAGCTGGATTCGGTGGATTATTTGGCAGCGTCGAATAAGGCGCGCAATAAGGTCAGCCGCTGCAAAATCCTCGGAGAAAAGTCGATGAAGCGCATCGCTCATTTGTCTCTTTCTCTGCAGTATAGCACGTGGGGATCTCTGCATAGTAGGGACCCACGTATATACAGAACATACGTATATACGTATCCAAACATATGGAGAAATAGTGAGCAGCGTAGCCGGCGTAACCCCTGCCTGCGATGGGCTTGATATATATTTAGGGCTGGATATTCATTAGCAGTCGGGTGCGGGTGATGAACTGCAAGCCGAGCCGAGGTAGACTTTTCGGCCGATTAAGGGTTGCGCGTGGCCTCTATCGACAATATATATATCCTCTGTGTGCCATACACACCGGAGCCTATAGTGAGATGATCCATTTTCAATACGCTTTAACTTTGCTGCGCTGTTTGCCAAGCGAATGCTACGGAGTTCGGACGACAAGATCGACGACGATCGTCGCAATATACATCTGCGGTGGCACGTGCTACGAGTTAAAGGTTTAGTCGGAGCCGCTGCAGCTCTAAACAAAGCGACCGATCATCGCGAATATCCGGTCCAGTTAAAAAATATACCAATGTACGTATTCACTGATTGGGCTTGGCGCCGTGGGGCAGGCAGCGTACGGCGCGCCGGAATTAAAACGATGATTGCTCGTGTCGCGCGAGAGAGTCTCCGTCGACTCTTGGCTGCAGTATTGTACGTTTTTTTGCGCGATACGCGTGTAGAAAGACGAGCGACCCGCATCTACAATTTGGCCCTGGCTCCGTACTGTATCAGCGCCATTATACGAACACGCGTTTGAATCAATTTCGCGTTGGAACATGACGAATCGAAAAAATAGCGCATATAGAATGAAATTATCATCCCCCTTTTTTTTCTCGTATGCGTGCTCGTATGCTCTCGAGTTCAAAGGACTGTTTGGATTTCGGCGCTTTGAGCTCCATGTCAGACATTAGTCTATTGGTTTGTATCCTTTCGGCGTATAACGCTCCAATAATCGCAGCGGCTCGGCTTGACACAAAGCGAACAAGACGAGAAAAGAGCAGTTGCTACCGGGCACAAAAATTTGAATCTGCAACGTCGTCGTCCCATAATATGCTGCCGCCGCCGCCGCTACTGCTGCTGTGCGACCGAGTACGAAGAATAAGAGAGAAGGAAAAGGTTATATGCACGAGCGAATGCGTTTTAGCCTTTGATAGCCTCGACGCTCGAGAAATTATCAATTCAAATGAGCTACCTCCGACGAGCTCGTTTGCGGGTTAAACGTTTGATCTGGCCATCGCCCCGGGCTCGGCGCAGTATATGCTACGCACAGCAGCAGCAGCAGCAGCCTATACCTACCGTGCATGCATATAGTCGACCGTTTATAGTATCAAGTACGGCGGAGCCGAGCTACTACTACTACTGCTACTACCACTACTACCACCACCGGCACTACTGCTGCTACGTCAACCTTTAGTGCCGAGCTTTTGCCGGGCTCTGCAGGGAATTTCTATACGGTAACTTACGTACGCTGCGGCACCGCGTATTATATGCAAAGACGAGAATGGAGAAAAGCTTGGCGAATCGAATTGTTTTTTTTTTTATATCTTCTGGAATCGTTCGCTAGCTCCTCGGAAAAGCCAAAGTCCTATCAAAAAGCTCTCGATACTTCGCAAGTGCGCTGCTGCGTACAATCTCGGAGCTGCTTATATCGACTTTGGTGCAGGATATCTGCGCCGTCCTGGCGTCGCAAATTATCTGTCGCGCGTAATACGCGCCCGGGCAAAGTTAGTTTAGGCGCGTTAAGGGCCGTGATCGCACCTGAGACCTCGACTACGCGGCTGCAGCCTCGAGAAGCGTCGAGCGCGTTAACGGCTTAAAAGCTTTCGGCCCTTATAGCCGTGCGCGCCGCAGCTGATTCATCGCGCGGCTAATAAAATCGTAAACGAGCAAACTGATTCGATATTCATCGGTCTGCCGCTGCTGGCATTAATAATCGTAAAACGACGGGCGCGCGAGCGCGAGATATAGTGGAAGGTCATCGATGGACGATGCCACCACGACGACGACGTATACACGAATTCATTCCAGTCAATCAAACTCTACTCTCTCGCTCTCCGAGATAGGTTCAATCGCGGTCATGCCGCACTTCCTCGGGCTCGGCTGCTGCTGCTGCTGCTGCTGTCGATGCAGCGGCGACGCTCATTAATAGTCCGCAACTGGCGACAATCACAACAATCGCTCAACGCAGCGCGGCTCGAGCGAGCCGTAGCGGTATTCTCTTAGTAATAATCGAAACAATTCATGCGCAGTTACAGCAGCAACAGCAGCAGCTGGTTTTTATTGGATTAGATTTCGTTTTGCGATTTGCGATCATCGCG